ACACACAAAAAAAAAAAAAAACGACTAGCATTTACACTCCCCTTTGATTTATATACAAAATCAGGGAATTAAATGTCAATACTTAAGCTTCCAAACAAATATTCAAAAAGAAACAAGCTGACACCACTACACTCCTCCAGCAAAAGGATTGTAAAGAAAAGCAAAACACACTTCAGGAAGCAACAATGCGAGTGGAAAAATGTATTTACAATGAAACCACTGTATGTCAGAATTCACCTCAACCATGTGCTGTGTATTCATTTGCAGGCATCCATGCCCACTCTGATGTTCAGTAAGTTCCATGTGCATTTACACTATATTAAGTCGGTAACGTAAAACGGTTCAGCCTATGGCCTTTTGCACCCCAATAAAATTATGCATGATCTAAATAAGAATAATTATAATATCAATACTCATTAGCACACAACAGCGTACTGTAAATGCGATCAGTAAAGTGGGCATTTGTAAAACCTTACAGCCACAAACACAAACCCGCCCCGCCCCTATCAGATTGAAACACACAAAAAGCACAAAACGTTTAACTCTCCAAACATAACATTTGCGTGAATTAAATAAGCACGGGTTTAAATACTCCAATATCTAACCACCTCTGACAAGTGACTAACAGCTGTCTGACAAACGAGCAATTCATCCAGAAATCAAGGGAAACATTACCAAATCAAAATGTGCCTGCGCCAAATGAGACGTTGTGATTGGTGGATTAACCTGTAGATGAGCAGACACTGAACATTGGAGGGGTTTGCGACAATACAGTGAGAGTAAGCTGCTAGTGCTCGATGGGACGTGAGGAGTAACAGGGAGAGCGATTCAAATTCTCAGCAAAGTTGCAATATCACACAAGATCACTCTCACTCATGCTTCTCCCCCCCCCTTTTTTGTAACTCAATACGCACCACCATCTTAAAACGCACGTGTTTTGCTTGTCCGCTGTTTTGGACACTCTTTACCCCCGCTGTCTCACCCCCCACCCTCCCCCCAACCCTTTATCGTCAGGAGTTGATTAGCTGATTGGCATGTCACCATATTCTAATTTGTTGAGATAGTGAATTGGTGGGTTTTTGTTAAATGTGAGCCAAAATCATCACAATTAAAAGAACCAAAGACTTAAACTACTTCAGTCTGTGTGCATTGAATTTATTTAATACACGAGTTTCACAATTTGAGTTGAATTACTGAAATAAATGAACTTTTCCACGACATTCTAATTTATTGAGATGCACCTGTATATATAATGTTTAGTGTAAAAATGTTTAAATCAAATATGTGCTTTAGAGAATGCTGTTTAAAGTAATTTGTTTTTCACTTTCCGTTCTGTTAATCCTGTAAATGTGCCTTGTAAATCTACGGGTTCGTAAACCTCTTAGATATAATTTGTGGGTTTTCTTAACTTAGGGGGTTTTGAGCTAGTATTAACAAAAGATTTGATTAATTCTGTGATGCTTTGTGGTATTAGTTTGTGTTACACACACTACCATTCAAAAAGTTTGAAGACTCGTATGCTCACCAAGGCTGCATTTACTTAATCAACAATACAGTACAAACAGTAATATTTTAAAATATCAATACAATTTAAAGAACTTTTCCATTTTAAAATATTCTCCTGTGATGGCAAATCTGAATTTTCAGCATTACTTCAGTCTTCAGTGTCACATGATTCTTTAGAAATCATTCTAATATGATTTGCTGCTCAAGAAACATTTTTCATAATTAAGTGTTGTTATAACAGTTTTGCTATTTTTGCATTTTTTGAAATAAAAATCTTTTCTAACATCATAAATGTATTTACTGTCACTTTTGATCAATTTAATGCATCCTTGCTAAATAAAAGTATTGTAGCATGTTCAAGCATGTTGTGTTATAGATAACAATGTGCTTAATGTTAGTGTTGCACTGTATTCATTTTTGTGTTGCGAACTGTTATTGGATGTTCGAGTTGGATGTGAAAAGAGGCTCCGCCCCTGTGTGTGTGTAAGGGGAAAGAGAGAGAAGGAGGGGGGAGAAAGGGTGCCTCGTTGGTTCAAGTGCAGTTCTCTTAGAAGTCGGGGTGTGTAACACAACAGCCCAAATAAACACCCCTTGTACATCAAAACGCCTCGTCCTTGTCGGAGAACGTTACAGTATTAATTTCACTTAAAAAAAAATCTTACTAGCTCCAAATTTTGTAACAGTGTGAAATTACATAACTTGGAATGCTTTTATTTCTACATAACAGGAATGACCCAACTACATAGAACCTTCAGGATATACTAAAAGAGCTATAACGCTAATAATTTATACATTAATTAATAATCAACATCATCATGAAAACTTTCTTTGCTGACCTTATAAAGTCTCTGATCCTCTGGCGCTCGCTTTAGGATGCCCTCCACAATCCGCTTCAGCTCGTAGACTGTGGTAGACTCCTTGGCATCTGTGAAGATGGTTGTCTTGTGACGTCTGATCATCAAAAAGACATCCTGAAGAAAAACAAGGAGCCAGTTACTCAACCTTCAATCCTCTCATCATCAACACATCTCGATTTACACCCAGTTCAACCCTACACAACCTAAACTCATGGAGCATTTGAATTTTTACACAACAAAATGAGACATCAATCACCTTAGAAAAATAATCCTAAACATGATAACAAACCACCAGCTTCTATAACTCTCAACTCAAAAAAAAAAAGCCATGTTTGTTGTAATTTACAGGTGGAACAACCACTGGCTTTTTAAAAATAAAACAAGAGAAAAGCAGATGGTGAACAGCTGAAACATGTCAACTACACAACTGCAACGCTCTCTACACAAATAAAACGCTGACAGCTGCAGTTATGTTAAGTTGTTGTTGACTTAGTTACTGGCAACACCTAGTTGTGCGGTTTGTTTACTGCAAACAGCTAACCAACATTACGAGGGGATGAAAATTCAATTATAATAACTGTAAACGTGGCTAAACCAAGTAAGTTATCTTTTAAAAATGGACGTGCAAACTGGAGCTAGTAACAACTGCAGGACAAAACATGTAGCAACCCATCTAAGCTCGATAACCTTTTGATGATTATCTACATGTATTGTGCGGATAGATTAAATGACTAACGTTAGATGAGCATCTAAAAAGGCACAGCCCAGAATGATCAATGACAGGACCAGCCCGTTCCTACATTACGGAGCTGTCATGAAACCAACACCGTGATTAACAGCCCCACTTCAGCTACAGAGGGTGCGCAGCTCATCTACAAATAAACAATACGAAACTGTTTGCCTATCGGTTTTTAGTATTGGCCGACCAGACCGGTCGTCGAGCGCAATGTACACAGCAACACAAGTAAATGGGGCGGATTTAGCAGGGAATGTTAGCCGGGCTGCTAAAAATATTGCGAAACAAAGAGGACTGTGTAAAGGCTGCGTTCACACTCTTTAGCCACTCCAACCAGCGGCTAGTTTGCGTATAATCCGTCACAGAAACATTTTCAAACTACAAAACGAAAGAATACGTTCGATCTGGGTTTGATCTGCTTCCTCACTCACCATTTCTCTACGACTGTTTCGCTGACTTCTTCCACTATCCCACGCTGCACTGCGGAAATCAAAGCGCTCGAGCCAGTCCTCCACAATCCCAGATGTCTTTGCGCGAGCAGCGTCAAGTCTTTTCTGTGCCGGAGACGCGCCCTAGTGGCCTCACACAATTCAGTGCATTTTTTTTAACTAACACTTGTTGAACAGGCACAATCCATTTGATTAAGTTTAATGTACAGTTTTGGCTATTTCTGTGAAAAGTAATTCTAGTGTATATCGTATGCTTAAGAATGCACTGTATGGCGTAGCTGTAACAATGGTTTTCACTGGGATTACTGGCCAAATTTGTTCATTAGAATGGTGCACATTGTAGAATGTATCTGGGACTGTGGCTTCCATGTGACCCTGGAGCACAAAACCAGTCTTAAATCGCTGGGGAATATTTGTAGCAATAGCCAACAATACAGTGTATGGGTCAAAATTATTAATTTGTCTTTTATGCCAAACATCATTAGAATATTAAGCAAATATCATGTTCCATGAAGATGTTAATTTCCTACTATGAATATATCAAAACTTAATTTTTGATTAGTAATATGCATTGCTAAGAACTTCATTTGGACAACTTTAAAGATGATTTTCTCAATATTTAGATTTTTTTGCACCCTCAGATTCCAGATTTTCAAATAGCTGCATCTCGGCCAAATATTGTCCTATCCTAACAAACCATACATCAATGGAAAGCTTATTATAAAAAATAAAAAATGTAAAATTACCCTTATGACTGGTTTTGTGGTCCAGGGTCACAAATACAGATACGAAATACACAAAGACATGACGTCATCAGGGGTATAAGAGTTTATTCTGAGCAAGACCTTGATGGAATAAACTCCCTTACGAAAATTAACCATGGTTTTACTATAGTAAAAGTGTAGTAACCATGTTTTTTTGGCTTATTACCATTTGTGTAAGCAGAGTTTTACAACAAATATCATGGTTAAACTACGGCTAGTGTAGCAAATCCATGGTTAATTTGTGGTTACCTTTGTTTATCTATAGTAACCATGTTTTTTTTTTTTGTAGTAAAACCATGGTTAATTTTCGTAAGGGCTTTGATGTTGAGGCAACATTATAAAAGGTTTATTTGAAACGGAAAAAAAAAAAACACTTAATTTCAGGCTGCCACAATATCCTTTAGGATTGCCTGCAACTCAGGAGTATTTGTGGATTTATTAACATTAGATTATCTTTTGCTGGCTCAATTGGTTATTTACAAATACTACAAATGACTAAAGAAAACCATGTCTTTTCCCACTCCTTTCCAAGTATTTTCTTTTACAGTTAGTACAACTCTCTTTAATACCTTTAATGGTATGTATTTACAATGCTGCCAACAATTTCAATATGAAAATTACAAATAAGATCTCAGTCTGGGTTTCTCTCAGTCTGACTTTAACAGCTCATTATTTTTCATCCTTCGGCCAAGCAGCACCTCTTCCTCACTGGACCTTCAGTTTGAAGTCACACACTGGTTACAATAGGCACACTAGCAACAGAGGAAACAAAAGACCCTGTTGGTTTAGTAGCAGCATTTTTTTTTTAATTTATGAAATTGAATGACAAGGTACAACAATATCTCTATGCAGTACTAACAGAACTGTTTATTCACACTTACCTGTTTTTTGTTTTATGAAATGACAATGCAGTCCGTTGATTCTCCTGTGTTAACAAAAGTTGAATGATAATGACTACAGACGTGGAGGAAAAGCAGACAGACAGGTAAACTGAGATTTGGATATGAGATGATCATACTCACGGAATATTCGTTTTAGTGCCTCAATTTCTTTTAAAGGGTTTGGTTTCTGGATTTTGAAGGTGTATTTTGCAAGGTCATCTTCACTGAGCTTGATTTGGACAAAAGCAAAACACTCAAATTTAATAATATACTTTATGCATACACTACCATTCAAAAGTCTGAGGTCATTAAGATTTTTCTCAAAATAAATTAATACTTTTATACAGCAATATGAGAGTGATTTCTGAAGGATCATGTGACACTGAAAACTGGAGTAACAGCTGCTGAAAATTCAGCTTTGTCATCACAGAAATAATTTACATTTGAAAATACATACATTTTGATGAGTATTAAAAACAAAAAAAAATGTTCCAACCCCAAACACAACAGTAGTGTAAATAAATTATTTTGTACATAAATGTGCAGAATCACGAAATGAAACTTTACTGCATTTGTCCATATCTACACAAAACAAAGCAATTCCGCTGCTGATTCTTGACAATCATAACCAATAACACAATGGTTTTGGGCTGCCAGTGAGAACAAAGATGTTGCAATATCACAATACATACTGGCTGATCCCTGGGTGTTGTATAAGGTTTAGTTCCCTCACTGCGATGGAGTGACAGAGGTCTGTGTTTGGTTTCTGGGTGCACACTGCAGTTGAAGCGCAGCACGCTGACAGGCAAATGAACATGCCAACTATCTGGATACTTCTTTACCAGATTTTCCACCATACTGTAAAGAAACCATACCATAATTTATTTTCAAAATAACTCTATGCTCTGTAATATTGTGATTCATGTCCACACAATTCTAAACGTACTTAACAATGTGGTATTGTGTGTGGGGTTCAAGCTGCGAAGCCTGGTGATGCCGAGAGACGAGGGAGATGTCCTTTATCATCAGAATATTATTGAGTGCTCTGTTAACCTTGACAAAAGAAAGAAAAATGGGTAAAGATCAAAAATTCAACGGTATCGAGACATTTAAATAACCTTTCAGCACATTTAAATGAATAAAAATACAATTTACAATTATAAATAATTAAACCTGCACTAATTGCTCTGACATTATCCAGTGAATCGTGACTTACCGTTCTGACCTGAATCCCTCTAGCACCCCAAGGTGTGAGAAATCCCAGAGGAAACCCGTATCGGGAAATGGCATCACACATAAGCAGGGCAATGGAATCAGAATTAGGCTTTTCTGATGGAAAGATTTCAATCCACTTGGTGTAATAATCACAGATGACCACGATGTGGCTATAGGGGCCTTTGCTTTCTTGAAAAGGCCCGGTTACATCTATACTCAGCCATTGCCATCTCTCTGTCACCTACATGAAAAAATTAAGATAAAAGAATATCAAAATTTACAGGTAAAACTATGTTAAGCCACACTTTTTACTTTCATAACTATTATGGCTGCTATTTTATGTCTTCACACAGAAATTACCGCTGTGCTCGCACTGAATCTCAACCTTTTGGCGTACCGGACCCCAGTCCAATTCAGAACCATCCTCAAGGACCCCCAGAACAAAATTGACTCGTATCATTTGTGTCTTTGTGAGGACCAAATGCAGTCAAGTATAATTCAAGTTAGCTGACTTGTCCAGTATTTGGCCATATCATCAGCTATATTGGATTTTTCTTTCATGGGAACATGTCATGTCAAAATATACAACATTTATACAAAAATTCATACTTTATACGGACCCCCTGGCCTTATGTCAAGGACCACTAGGGGTCCACGGACCCCTGGTTGAGAAACACTGTGCTAGAGGACTAAAAAAGGACAAATCTGAAAAAAGGCATACCCGGATAAACTGAGTGTTTGGATTTTCAGCTGTTTCAAGAGGTGCGTCATCATAGGCGACATCATTTCCAGGATCCTGCACATACATATTAAAAAAAAAAAACAATGCTAAAACACCATTCAGGAGACTATTTCCAGATCTTTAAGGCCTAAGTTTATACATTTACAGACTGTGATAATGTAAAGGTCTACATACACTAGCATCATCATCAGCTTCATCATCAGCCTCATCGTCACCCTCCGAAAGCTTCATCCAGTGAAAGCTCTGTGAAAACACATTGACTGGTGTATAATGTACAAGTCAGTGTATAAGATGCTCTACAAAAGACAGACAAAAATCAACAACTATTAACCTGTGGTTTGCAGTAGTCATCATGGAAGCTGCCAGCATGCAAGGGGCCAAGGCTGGAACCATCAGAATCCACAGGCACACGAACAAACTTCCCCTCAAGCCTATCAAACCCATGAATAAGAGACGTTAAGTAGTACGACAACAACTAGAGAAAATTACTCATTTGGCAAACAATTGTAACAAATACATAGGCTAACAAACATTACCGTGGTATTACTGGTGCCGATACTGCGGTTGGTTTTGGTTTGATAGGCACTTCAACTGGCTTACGATTCTGAAAAACACAAAACAAATGAAGAATGTGTTTAGAAACAATAAAAAAAAGATAAAGACTTTCTAACACAGCTTTAAAACAACGGTTCTAAACTGATCGATCTGGGGACACAGATTTTATATTCCTGAACCTCTGTGTAAGCCAAACCCCTTTGACCTAAAATTTTCTAAAAGTTCCTCTTGAGATTTTATAGTTAATATAGTTAACTGAAGTTAATATTTCAATAGTTTAACAAACCATGTGCATGTTCACAGCTCTCTGATGTTAATGGGATCATTACAAGTGTTTTATTTATTTCATTCATTTATTTATCTTAAAATTACTTACGTTTTCATTTCCATGACTTAAATAATTATTAGCTTTATATCAAATCATGAACCCCCTGCAATTCACTCACAAACTCAAAACAGTCCAGGGAACCCTGCAGCAGAACATGAAAACCATTGAATCCCAATTCAAAGGTTAATATATAATCAAACGTTTAGTTTATTAATATTACCATAAACTGCATAAGACCAATAATACACAAAATATTTACATGACAAAGGCTGAAAAAGAAAACCAGCAATTCTGGATTATTTGGAAATGCTTTGATGTAAAGAACCACTGCTTTCTGGAAATGTATTTACTAAAATGTTTACTTGATATGATGATGAGTGATTCTTCTAACCTCCCATACATACCAGAGATCGTCTCTTGACAGCTGGCACCTGTGTGTGGACAATTAAAAATAAAAATAATGGAAAGAACACATGGATTATAAGTAGAAACGGGGAAAAAATACGGATATTTGCATTACAAGTAACAACATTTTAAAAACATGCACAAAACTGTTCTGACTTGCCTTCCACTGCAGATGTTTTGGGAAATTAAAGATAGTCGGGACAGCATTTTTGCGCAGTCGTTTGTGACTGCCCACTTGTTCAAAGCAGTCCTTCTCAAAATGATCCGAACACAGGACTGAGTTTCCAGTTGGCCACCAGTTCTGCCATCTCATCCGACGGAGCCACTCTCTCACTCTCAAGCCGTCAGCTAGCGGGAATCTGGATGATGGACACACACATAAAACACACACACACAGACGTGCATAAACGTGTTCGTGCATGCGTCACACAACCATAACAATGTTAGACAAATATGCGTGCATTTAAATACACATTATATAGGGGGTTATTTGGGGGTTTGTTTGAAACTTTACGAACATGAGATATATAAATACACAACTTACTTGTGAAAAGAAAACTCGCCCCTGTTGTATGCCTCTTTATACTCTCTATCTGAACGCTTCTTGCACTTGTAGGCTGAACACACTGGCATTTTTTATTCAATTCCAATGCAATTTCAAACGCTAAACAGACATCTTATTTTGTATTTCCGGAAACTGTTCTTCTTCTGGTGGGATTTAATGGCAGATTGAACACTGGGAGTATTGCCACCTAATGGACACGTTTTGCGATGGAGCCCCATTTTCCTTCTTTGCTGAGAGCTGTCTGTTCTGCTTGTTTGCACATCTCTCTGACCCTCCTCATTTCCCAGCTCTGATTGCAGTATAAGCAAACAGTATATTTGATAAAGAATGTACTGTGGGAAACCCCCAGTGGTGCTTCAACAACACATCAGTGCTTCAGTGAAACTTTTGTTTGTGAACGAATCGTTCTCGGTCACTTAAAAGGAAGGTTCGCCCCAAAATTAAAATTCTGTCATCATTTATTTACCCTCACGTAATTTCAAACCCACTCCCATTTTGTTCAAGTCTTGATAGAAACTTCTCGGGTTTCATTAAAATGTCTTGACTTGTATGTCTAATGGGTTTGGGCATGAGGCTGAGTAAATTCAGTACATTTCATTTCTGAGTTTTGAGATTTTTGAACGTCTGAAATGTAACGACATTACGTTTTTATGTAGACTACTGTTGTCTTTTTCTATAGTTTGATGAAGCCAAGGTTACAAAAATGATAACTCGCTTACCTGTATTCATGAAATTAAATACAATACCAAAAGATTTTACAAAAAGATTTGAGCCGTCAACGACTTGTGTTTTAAATAAATCGGTTGAGTGAATGACTCACTCATAGCACTGAGACATCTGTCGAGGTGTACAGATAACATGCAAGAAGAACCAGTAAATTAATCTTTTTGGTGAACGTGTTCAAAGGACTCGATTCACTGGAATAATTGAAACTCCCAACCGCCAACCAACAACAGCTCCTCAAAAATGCAACACGACACACACAAAAACATTATGATGACAACAGTCCCGTAAATGATTACGTTTACAATACTTTAGAGTTTGTAACTGCATTTGTTGATTACAAACAAACAAACACACACACACACACACACACACACACACACACACACACAACAAACATACAAATACGTCTGTAAATGTATGTTTGGCAAAGCTGTAGCATGCCTGATTCGCAGCTACACAATATTAAAACATCTGTTATACATGTGTGTATGTTTAGATTAGGGGACTTTACATCTGAGGATTAGCTTATGTTACTTGAAACTTGCAACAAACATCTAAAACTTACGTGTGAAAAGAAAAGTCGCCCCTTTTGTACGCCTCTTTATATGATCCATCAGAGCGATTCTTGCACTTATAAGCCGAACAAACGGGCATTTTTCTAACAGAATGTGTTACTGCTCCATTCACTTTCACCAATTTCGTCGCATAGGGCAACAGCAGCAAACGACTGTGACTGTTTTGTATTTCCGGATGCTGTTATTCACTGCGAGACCTATTACCGCCATCTACAGGACATTGTGTGATACTGCAGCCAGTTTCACAAACGGCACTCTGCTAAAAAGGTTTTGGAAAGACTATTTATTTATTTATCTGAAAGGAAACGAGAGCACTGTGCATTTATTTTATGATTTTTTGTTTTTTGGTGCAATTGCACATTTTTGTTAAAAAGAATACAAACTTTGAAATGTGACATAAAACAGATGTTTTATTTTTAAAATATAATTATTGAATTTAAAATATTATATATTATAAATGTACTTATTAAATATGGAAAATCACAAAAAACCTTCTACTTATTTTAAAACAGAAATAGGTCACCTTCATACTTTAATATCAATAAGAATTAACAAAGCAAAATTACTATAAATTACTGTAAAGCCTTTAATCTTTTTTTACCATTAATATTCGTATGTTTATCTCAGTATTTGATTTGCTATGATTGCTGTTTTTTAATGTTGCATTTGATTAATTGGTTCATGGGTTTATCAGAATGTTGCATTTAATTAATTAATTTATTTACTTACATATTTACTTACAAGACCGAATTACATGTCAAACTACTAAGCACATATGATTTTCATAGCTTTGTTATTTATAGATTTTAAAAAGTCTGTATTGTTTAATATATAGTTCACATATTTTATTGTTTAAATACAAATATATCTGTTCAATACTAAAATAAAAATAAATAAATAGGCTACAAGAAGGGAAAAAAAAGATAAAGAAGACAAGTTTTTCTTCGATTCATTTTGACCCTCCATCCTCCAGTCCAGTTAGTGGCAGCAATGCGCCAAAAGGTGGCTTGCCAACATTACAAGAATAAGACAAGGACAACAACGCAGCCCAGTACATGACAGGTTATGTCCCTGGATACTGATTTCAAAACCATTCATTTTACCATCAGGCGTCTTTTGAGTTCGTAGCAGAAAGACACAAATTAGGATTAAATTCAGTAAAACGCTAGAAATATAGGCGTTGTCCTTGTTATTAGCGTAATAAGCAGGAATATATCGAGGTGATATGCAACTTTAAAGATGATGTTTATTAAAGAGGAGAATGATGACACATCTGATCCAGAACCCTGCAGAACAGAAAATGAGCACCAAGAAGGTTGGTGTCTATTTTTGATTATTTCCCTCTCTTTTTAATTATTGTGGTGCATTAATGTAACCAGTTAGAGCTGATTAGACAATCTAATAATCTGAAGAAAAAAAAAAATCTCAGTTTTTCCTGCTTGTGTTGGTTTATAATAATTTATAGTTGTCACTTCAGGCCTGATGGAAGTGAAAGAGGAAAGTCAAACTCTGAATGAAATGGAGGAGAAACAGCAGCATCACAAAGCTCATGTTGTCCTCACTGGAGAAAAATCCTCGATTTGCTCCCAAACTGGAAAAACCAGTTTCTCACAAAGCCGCACTCCGACACAAGCCAAAAAACCCTTCAGCTGCTCTCTGTGTGGAAAGCAATGTGCCCATAGAGGCCACCTGAACGATCACATGTTAACTCACACCGGAGAGAAGCCGTTCGCTTGCCCTCAGTGCGGAAAGAGATTCTCACGCAGAAGAAGCCTCAACGATCACATACTGATTCACAACCAAGAGAAGCGCTTCGTCTGTCCTCAGTGCGGAAAGAGTTACAAACGCAACGAACACTTTCGGAGTCACTTACTAAGTCACGACGGAGGCAAACCCTTCACCTGCTCACAGTGTGGAAAGAGTTTCAGTTTTAAACGAACCCTTAACGATCACATCAAAATTCACACTGGAGAGTGCCTTCACACGTGCCTTCAGTGCGGAAAGAGTTTCCTGAATAAAGGACACCTTAAGGAGCACATCAAAATCCACACCGGAGAGCGACCTTTCGCCTGCCCTCAGTGTGGAAAGAGCTTCATCAGTAAACAAAACGTTACATCTCACATGAAAATTCACACATTGGAGAAGCCTTTTAAATGCCTTCAGTGTGGAAAGGGTTTTGCATGGGCAAGCTGTCTGAAAATCCATATGCGCCACTCTCACTCTGAAGAAAGGGAGTTTACCTGCGAGCACTGCAATAAAACATTTGTTTTAGAGTCTTACCTGAAGAGACACTTGAAAATTCATCAAAACGAGAAGCCTTTCGTCTGTTCGGTTTGCGGGAAAAGTTTTTTATGGCCCCTGTGTTTCAAAGCGCACCAGAAAATACATGAGGGTGTGAAAACCCATGTGTGCTCAGAGTGCGGCAGAGCCTTTGCTACAGCCGATTATTTGATAAAACACCACAAAATCCATATGGGAGAACGGCCGTACGTGTGCTTATATTGCGGAAAGAGTTTTACTAAGAAAGCAAACCTGGTAGATCATGTGAGGCTGCATACTGGAGAGAAGCCGTACGCCTGCGCTCAGTGTGGAAACAGTTTCACCTCAAGAAAAGGTCTAAGCTATCACAGAGAAAAGCATTGTTCTCAAAGCGTGCCAAAGTCATGTTCAGTTGAAGTCCAGATAGCGTCGGATATGCCTGAAGATTGCGTTTCTACCAAAAAAGCAATTACATCTACAACCTTTAGTGGTGAATAAGCTCTCATTCGATGGAAATGGCAGCAGGAAGTTTGTGCATCTAGTACTTCATTGTAAAAGAAAATTTAAGGGAAGGAAATAAAACAGAAAAACAAGGGAGTGAGAGTGGAGTCTGGAAAACTACATATTTTATACTACATAAATGTAAATATGGACCTTATGTAGCTCCGCCTCTTTTCAGCGCTGCACTCATTGTCTTCGGTCTTCCATTTTTATTTCCACTGTGTGAAGGTCAGGTTGTATGAATTTCTGAACGAACTGTTCATTTTAAAATCTTCCCGGTCTACTGACATCTTTTTTTTTACATCTGCTTCAAATATTACAATGCACATGATAACTTTCGTTAAATCTACAAGTAAAGCCACTACACCAAGCTAATTACTCTTCAAAGGTGATGCTATCCACCTTATTTTTCAACATGGAATTAAGACTTTTTCTGTGAATGTGCGAGACTTCCGGTTCATTAGCCGCTGTAGGAAAATAACGAGAAGAAAACAACTGTAAAACTGTGTGCACTACAAACCGGTGTGTTCATAACTAAGATAATACATTAAAATAATATGGTAAGACACACCAGTTTGCAATATCGAGCAGCAAAACGAGCTGTTTTGTACAGCTAAAAGATAGCTGGACACGAAGGACATCGGAACCCAGACACATTACGTTTACAATAAATTAAATGTTTACCTATCAGATTGTGTTTTATTAACGTCTACACCAACCCTAAACATACCCCTTACAATAATGCAAGAAATTATTGTTGTACAGTGTGAAAAGTATTATGCTGTATTGATGTGCGCATGCCCAGTAGCCGCAGCTGTATCCCATCTGGCCTTAACCTGCTCTAACGAGAAAAATAAGGTGGTATCCAGCTACTGCAAAAAGTTCAAAGCACTTGTTTGTCTGACGCATAAGCTCTATAGCAGGGGTGCCCAAACTCGGTACTGGAGGGCCAGTGTCCTGCAGAGTTTAGCTCCCAATTTGCCTCAACACACCTGCTGGGAAGTTTCTAGTATGCCTAGTAAGAGCTTGATTAGCTGCTTCAGGTGTCTAATTGGGGTTGGAGCTAAACTCTGCAGGACACCGGCCCTCCAGGACAGAGCTTGGGCACCCCTGCTCTATAGTATATTTAGAGAGGGTCAAGCATGCATAGACACCTAGAGGAATAGCCTATATTAAAAAAAAAGAAGCATTTTTGTATTTTGTATTTATTTATTTTTTATTAATTTTATTCCAAAGAAGAATTGTCCTGGTCAAAAATGTATACAATCCTTATTGATGATTCAATCAAGCAAATTCCAAGATCTAGCTAGCTGTATAGAAAATAATATACTGTGCATTAAAATGAGATTTTAAAGCATGTAAGAACCCCCCCCCCCCAAAAAAAAAATTAAAAACATGC